GGAATGGACTTCTCCGAGCCTCTGTTTGTTCATCAGTAATGCCCGCCCAGCAGAGCTGCAGGGGAATTAAACAAGATAATAGGTACAATCTCTAAGAAACTATAGCTAATATTAGGACTCTTGACCATCAGACACTCAAAAAAATTGCCTTCAATTTTTATCCCTCCTTTCTTCCGTCCCTTTCTTCCTCATTATTCTTCTACATTACCTACGGCATGCTGCTCAGTGCTTGGCATATTGTGGGTACTCAATAAATAATTTCCTCCTTCAGTACAGATTTCTTTTTATGTCATTAAGGGAAGGGTAAGGGTGATATCCATTCAGCTCACCCAGCACAAAGGAAGTCCTCAATAACGTTTGGTGAGTGAATGAACTGCGTGCTTTGGGAGTTCAGAGAAGAATGGGTGTGCCATGAAAGAGTTGAGAAAAGCATCAGCCTCCAAGCTGAACAAAGGAAGTTCTATAAGGCATGGAGAGTGGTGGTTTCCTATGGGATGAATTTTCTGAGCTATTATGAAGCAAGGCAACAGAGCCATTCGTATGCCACCACTTTCAGAAGGTGGATGGAAAGATAAAGGGAGCACTGATGGAGAGCAATGGGGTCTTTAAAAAGTGAGAAGTCCCTAGGAGTCCACAGAATGCTGATGTATAAATGTGTTGGATGTGCCTCCGATACATATTTTCTTTTCCAGCAGAACTGTATTTTACCTGCTAGCAAAGAACAACAATTCACTTGTAGCACAGGAAGAAAGCTACAGAAAATCAAAGGGAAGTAGCAGGCAGGAACCCATAAACGAGTCCCACTTTCCCATCCCCTAGACAGAAAGCCTGGGACAAAAGTACTTTAAATTCTGCTCTGCCGTTTTCTGGGAAAAGATGATTCCATTGTAAATTATTGAACATTTCATTTAAGCCTCATAAATAAGAAACCCAGATGAAAACATTACATGTTAGATCTGTTTGGCAACATATAATTTCTGTCTTACTCCCTCAATCTGTCACCCTTCATCTACGTCAGAGAATTTCTACTTCATTACAGGCAATTGAAGGTTTCAATCAGATGCCTAAAAAAGTAGTTTATGTCCCAGAGGTAATCTAATTTCTCCAACCAAGGATGTACCTGGGGCTCGCCGAACATATTGACAGAGATAAATGTGTGCTTGGAATGGCTCTGGGGGCGTTACAACCACCCACTCAATCTAGTGACAGGTACTCCACCCAGCCAGGGGGCCGGCTCCTCACTGACAGGCAGACTCCCTGAACCACTGGTTTCATCAGAGCCAACAGGGTAAGCCTCAGCAAACTGATGACAGGTGTGCCGAGGACCAGCTTGGACCTGCCTGGGGCACACAAAAAAGGACTCAAGATCTTGGAATAGTCTTCTGAGCAAAATAATAATGATACTGGCTACTATCAGGACGGGCCAGGCACTGTACTTCATTTCATCCTCGTGATGACCCTCCGAGATACACACCATTGCTCTTCCCATTCTACAGAAACTAAAGCTCAGAGATATCAAGTATCAAAGTTAACACCAGTAGAAAGTGGCCGAGCCTGAATGTTAACGTAAGCACAGCAGACCTCAAAGTCTGTCAAACTTCAAACTTGACCTCCACTGGTGTTGACATTTTAGAGAAAGAAAGAAGGGTTGAGAAGTGGATGGAGCTGGTTTGAGAAAGAGAAAAGAGGGCTGGTTCTTGGTTCTAATGCACTCCTTCAAGAGAGCCTGGTCAGTAAGGCCTGGTGATTCTGCCATACTCAAGCATGGGGGGATTTATTGCATCGACTGTACTAAAGCTATACTGAGGAGGGGGGTACAGAACCCTCTGGCTATCATGCAGCATTCCCCTTCATTAAACCAAGCCATTTGTGGGGCACAAGGTGGGGGAGTGCAGTCAGTCAAGCATCTGACTCTTGGTTTCAGCTCAGGTCGTGATCTCAAGGTCAGGGTTCTGAGATTGAGCCCCACGTCAGACTCTGTGCTCAGCGGGGAGTCTGCTTAAGATGCTCCCTCTCCCTCTCCCTCTGCCCCTCCTCACACACACTCTCTCTCTCAAATAAATAGATAAATCTTTAAAATATAAAAAGCCATTTGTTAAGGAAAGTTTGCTCGATGCATTTCCTGTCAAAATCATTCCTATTACCTCAGGGATCCAAGGGAAGTCACAGCTGCTCAGGGAAAGCGATGGCATTGGGGGCAGGGTGGAACATTCCATTCCCCCTAAAAGCCCTGAACCTTTGCCTTAGTTTCTTTTTATAATATGGTGTACTGGTTTGAATAGTGCCCCCCTCCAAATTCATGTCCAACTGGAACCTGTGAATGTGACCTTATTTGAAACAGGGTCTTTACAGATGAAATCAAATTAAAAAGAGGTCAAAACAGATTAAGGTGGGCCCTAAATGCAATGTGACCAGTGTCTTCATAAGATGGGGAGAAGACACAGACACACAGGGAGAATGCCATAGGTTACAGACTGAATGTTTGTGTTACCCCAAAATTCATATGTTGGAAACTTCATTCCCAATGTGATATTAGCTGATAGGGTCTTTGGGAGATGATTAAGTCATGAGCAAGCAACCCTCATGAATGGGATTGGTGCCCTTATAAAAGAGAGACCCCAGAGAGTTCTCTTGTTCTTTCCACTGTGTGGGAATACAGCAAGAAGATAGCCATCTATGAACCAGAAAATGAGGTCTCACCCGATGTCAAATCTGTTGGTGCCTTGATCTTGGACTTCTCAGTCTCCAGAACTGTGGGAAATAAATGTGATTTAAGCCACCCAGTCTATGGCCATTGCTGGCAGCAGCCTGAGCTGACTAAGACACCATGAGACAACAGAGGCAGAGCCTGGAGTGATGCAGCTACAAGTGAGGGAAGCCCAGGATGGCCGGTGACCACCAAAAGCTGGAAGAGGAAAGGAAAGATGCTCCCCCTTAGAGCCTCTGGAAGGATCCCTGCCCACCAACACCTTGATTTGGGCCCTCTAGACTCTAGAACGGGGGGAGAATAAATTTCTGTTGTTTTAAGCCACACTGTTGTCATCATTTGTCATGGCAGCCACAAAAAACTAATGCAGATGGAGAAAAGACTCCCCATCCCACCTTCTTCAGGTTGTGGTGAGGGTCAAAGCACATTCAGGTATTTTGAAAAGAACATATGTTATATAAATGCAGAATAGCATGATCATCAAGCCAGGGCTCTTGTGGGCCCACACAGAGCCCCCTTCCATAAATGCCTACCAGAAGCACTCAGACTCATCATGGGGGACCCCAAAGGTAATGATTTGATCTTGTATTTTTCTATAGTCCCACTTCTAGTAAACAAGGGCAAATTTGATGCTTGTTTGATGCTAGAATAATGGTCTCCAAAGATGTCCACGTTCTAATCCCAGGAACACATGACTCCGTCATCTTACATGGCAAAAAGGAATTTGGAGATGTGATTAAGTTAACCAGGTGGAGGGGCGCCTGGGTGGCTCAGTCGTTAAGCGCCTGACTTCGGCTCAGGTCATGATCCCAGGGTCCTGGGATCAAGCCCCGCATCAGGCTCCCTGCTCAGCAGGAGGCCCACTTCTCCCTCTCCCACTCCCCCTGCTTCTTGTGTTCCCTCTCTCGCTGTGTCTCTCTCTGTCAAATAAATAAAAATCTTAAAAAAAAAAAAAAAAGTTAACCAGGTGGAGCCAATGTAAGAAGGGCTCAGTCGTTAAGTGTCTGCCTTCGGCTCAGGTCATGATCCCAAAGTCTTGGGATTGAGTCCTGCCTTGGGCTTCTTACTCAGTGGGATCCTGCTTCTCCCTCTGCCTGTCGCTCCCCCGGCTTGTGCTCTCTCTGTCTCTCTCTCTGTGTCTGACAAATAAAATCTTAAAAAAAAAAAAAAAAGATGGATACAGGAAGATCACTCAGAGTAGAAGGTGGGGCAACGAACACAGAGGCTGGAGAGATAAACAGGCTTGAAAATGCTATGCTTTGGCTTTGAAGATGGATTAAGGAACCACAAGCCAAGGGATGCAGGAAGCCTCTAGAGGCTGGGAAAGGCAAAGAAATGATTTCTCCCCCAGAGCATCCAGAGGCTGCGACCCTGCTGAACCATTTAGACTTCAGACCTGCTGAATGCTGAACTGCACAATAATAGACTTATGTTGTTTTAAGCCACTAAACTGTGGTAATTTGTTACAGCAGCAATAGGAAATTAATATGCTGGTCAAGCCAGTTAGTCTGAAAATGAATGTGGGAGAGGGTAGGGAAACAGCCCCAATAATTACAGATATCCTGGGAGGCTCCCAGTGATTCTTTGTATTAAACCCCCAAAGGATTTCCCCAAAGAATCTTTTAGTTGGACAGTTTTTGCATCTTTTCCATCTGCCGCAGTCCCCAGAGGTCATCCTAAGATTGAATCCATAACTTCAAATACCCTGGGATCTGAATTACCAACCTTGGTGGGGAGCCCACAGCCACAGGGCTTCTGCCCGCCCCTACATTAAAGGCCTGATAGCCTGTGCTCAGAAAGTCCATCCAGTGTTGCTCCCTAGAAGGGATCCTGGAGTCCCCATATCGTTTCAGTCCCTTAAAAGGTGCAGTTGATGTTCACACACAATGTTCAAGAAATGCTTTAAAGGCCCATGTCCACACAATCCTTCAATTCACAGCTTATACAAGGACTCCCTTCACCAGTTGTAGCCAACCTGAGACTTTAAGTAATACGGGGAGACCTTCCCAGGAGAGCACATTTCTGAAAGTCACCGACAAGGGCAGCCTCACTGCCTTCCCAAGGTCAGCAGCAAGAAGGAAGCTCTGCACTGAGCAATTCATCCTGTTGACTTGGTATGGATTTCCTAAGTGGTGAAACTGGGATTTGGTACTAGGTAAAATTAGGAGGAGATTCAGGAAGGACTGAACATAAGATAAGAACAGGAATCTAAGCTCATTTGCTTCCCTCCTTTCTGCCTTCCCCACCACTGACACACACATGGAATAATGTTTGTTTCTGCATCTACTGACAGATCTGGTGCCTGGCACTGAGTATGGACTTGGAATATCTGCTGTCATGAACTCACAGCAAAGTGTACCAGCCACCATGAATGCCAGGACTGGTGAGTAGGAGGATTGGTACAGAAGAAGACCAGGATACTCTGTAGGCCTAAGAAGCCATGGAGGCTTGTCCTGGCAAGGCTTGGTCAGAAGGCAATGCCCCTTAATGAACAGGTCCCTGGATGACAGTTATCAGCCTAGAAACAACGTCTACCTGTGGATCTCTGATCTCTGTGCCTAACCTCTGACATCAACATGCAGGATAGTCTCCCTCTCTTCCCCACAGATCTATGCACATCTCCCATGGTCTGAAGGGCTGCCTGCCCACAGAGGTGGAAAATTCCAAATCGGTTAGTGTCATAACAGGTCCTATTTCTTTCTAGACCACCCCAGAACAGGCAGAATGTGATGTCCCTCACCATGCATAACAGAAGCCCTCAGAAAGGCCACAAGGATAAAGGTTTAGATTTGGAAACAACCCATTAAATCTAAGGACAATGGAAAAGTCCACCTGAGACCCTTGTTATTCTGGATCCAGCAGATTTGCTTCCAAATTCTGGGTAAATTTCAAAGTCACTCTAGTACCTTAGGTACAGGCAGCCTGGACTGAGCTGGGGATTTTGAACCAATCCCTGTCCCAAGGCTTGTTCTAGTATAGACAACCTCTCTAGAGAACCACAAGGACATGGGTCCCCAGGAGTTCTCAAACTTGTACACCCACGGCCAGGTCAGTCAAAATGGCCTCAGGAACAGGGATAGCTACTGTTGCCAGGGATGGCATATCCCTACTTAATGGTGGCTCCTATTTTACCCTGGTTGGCTTGCTGAAAAAGGCTGGGAGAAAAATGAGTATAGAGAGCTTGACAATCAGCAGCCAGCTTTGTCCCAGAGGTGGATGTATTCTAGTGGTGTTGGACCTACTAATGCCTTTATGCAAATTGTCCATCTTTATACCAAGCCTTTGGCCATCTTTCAAGGGGAAGGTGCTTAAAAAAATGTGAGATAATTGTCAGCAATGACAAGCTAATCATCGTGGTCAGCAGGCCTGTTGAGAGCTTAGAAATCCACAGGGAGGTCCAATTCCAATAAATACTGGCCGATCTATGGAACTTGTGTAAAATAGGCCACTTATGTTGATCCACAGAACTTGACAGTCCCCGAGACCTTATGGTGACAGCCTCCTCGGAAACTTCCATCTCCCTCATCTGGACCAAGGCCAGTGGCCCCATTGATCACTACCGAATTACCTTTACCCCTTCCTCTGGGATCGCCTCAGAAGTCACTGTGCCCAAGGACAGGACCTCATACACACTGACAGATCTAGAGCCCGGAGCAGAGTACATCATTTCAGTCACTGCTGAGAGGGGTCGGCAGCAAAGCTTCGAGTCCACCGTGGATGCCTTCACAGGTACCAGGATAGCAGAAATCCCAGATGGGTTCAGGGATTAATGGATCTTAGTACAAGAAGGTCATCTAGGCAACCCACTCTTTGAATACCCCATTTTGTTTAGAGAAGGAGGAATGTGGGTAGAGAAAGAAGAGATAGAGGAGAAATTAATAAATATATCAAGATGGAATGGTTGGAAATAAGGAGGAGAGATGAGCAAGGCTACTTACATGCCAGAAAATTTGTATCTGGTTTTCTACAGCCTGGACAAAGGGGTTGAGTCTGTTCATCTTTCCCTGCCTGCACTAAATCAGTGGGCATTCAGAGGATCCATGCAATCATGTTAAATTTCTCCCAGGATAAAGATTTTAAATCCTGGGTGAGTATTATGAATAACTCACAGAGGTTTTACCCTGCTGAGGGCATTCATTTTTCAGTATGTGGCCTAGAGAAAAGAGAGTAGACAGGACTGGAGAGTGAGAAGGTGGAAGCTGTGAGTCAGCAAGTGAAGGTGTAGTCCTAGTTTACAAGGAAAACAGATTGTTTCAGTCAGTTGGCTCTTCTAGCCCAGGGTCCCACACCTCACATATGTTTCAGAACCATCATCTCCTCTGCTTTGCAGGCTTCCGCCCCATCTCCCATTTGCACTTTTCTCACGTGACCTCCTCCAGCGTAAACATAACCTGGAGTGACCCATCCCCTCCAGCAGACAGACTCATTCTGAACTACAGCCCTCGGGATAAAGAAGAAGAGATGACAGAGGTCTCCCTGGATGCTACCAAGAGGCATACTGTCCTGATGGGTCTGCAGCCGGCCACTGAGTACATTGTGAACCTGGTAGCAGTCCACGGCACGGTGACCTCTGAGCCCATCGTGGGCTCCATCACCACAGGTGAGGCTGGAGGACTTGACAGCAGGTGGTGAAGAGAGTTCCTACAGAGGTCTCTAATAAGTCAATGAAATTTACAAAGAGAAATCCCCAAGGAGTAGGGGACTGCCTCACTTGGCTAGAGAGGGTTGCACAAAATGTATAAGATGGGAAACTTCCTTTTGGAAGGTAGGATGGACTCAATGTTTTGAGGAGGCCAGGGTTTGAATGCATTGGTCCAGAGGTTCTGACACTACCAGCCTGAAGAGAGCTGGCCTCCAAGAGGAAACCCAATCTCTTGACTGCTCAGTAAGGTCACTCATACAAATGATGCTTCCTCAAAATTATATGGGACCAGCATGCAACCATGTGTGAACCTGAGACTCAGAAAATGGGGTTGATTTGCATGTTGTTTAGAAAACACAGGCACCCTAAGATGAACTGGATCATTCTTGTCTCATCATTCTCAAATACAATCCCAGATATAAGTGTGCATGTGGGTGAGGACATGTGTATTTCTCTGGTTTCCTACATACTAACAAGAACTTACAAACTGGACAAGTGGATGAAGCACTAGTTGGTTTCAACCCTGGGATCCCCCAGTAGTCAAAAAAATGAACTATCCAGTACAGATGAAATGCAATTTAAGAAAGTGGATTTGTTCTGGACTTGTGCTCTGAAATCCCTCTAGACTCAATAGGCAGTTTTTCCAAATTGAACCGTAGGTGGCTGCTAAAAAAAAATAAGAGAAACAGTTGGGTTTGTCCAAGAGAAGTTGTTCCAGAGAAAACGGCCATGTTACTCCCAGTTCAAAGCAAAACATATGAACTTAAAGGAAGGTTCCCAGTTGACATTCACACACAGGTAATAGTTGCTGCACAGCACAGAGCTTGCCAACGTGACTTCATGTTGTTAAAATATTCCCCATGAACATGGTTTTAGCCAATAACTCTGAGGTTTCATGTGAAACTTTGGCCTGAGCACGGCTTTAAGGATGCTCTAGTATAAAGATCTTGTCTGCCTCTGCAACACTATTAGCTCTTGGTCCACATGAAACCAAGGATAGGAATTGCTTTTTCACACTGTGCTTTCTGTCTTTTTCCCACAACTACCTGGGTCCTTATAGGAATTGATCCCCCCAAAGACATCACAATTAGCAATGTGACCAAAGACTCAGTTATGGTCTCCTGGAGCCCTCCTGTTTCATCTTTTGATTACTACCGAGTATCCTATCGGCCAACACAAGGTAATAAAGTTATTTGATTTCTCACAAATGGATGGGATTTGGAGCTAGGTGAAGATTGCTATGGAAGAACTACATATCCCAGAGGATATCACCCCTCGCTTGCATTCTCCTCCTCTCTGTAACATGTTCCATCACAATAAGAGTGGTTTCAGGAGGAGCAGCAAAGAAACCCTTAACTTGCCAACTCCTCTCACAAAAGGCTTAACTGTATTCACCCAGAAAGCAAGCCTTTCATCAGCAGAGTGAACCATGATAACTTGTCACCTTATCTAGGCAGTGTAGTAAGTAACGAAGAACCCTAAAGAATTCTGCCAAAAGCCAGGGTCACATTCACTTTTTTGAGAGAGTGAAGTCCAAGACTAGAATCCTGGGGGATGTCTAAAGACTCAGCTGGGCCAGATGAAGCCTTAGAGAGAACCACAGTGATGGTGGTCCTATTTCTGCCACTCCAGCCAAGTTATGAGTCAGAAAAAGTTGGCCCAGACATCCCCTGCTTCCTGCCAGTTCCTGTTGGTGCATGCCACATTGTTAACAAAGTAGAGGGCATGCCCACTTCCAGGGAGGTAGTGGCATAGTTTTCCAGACTACTCTGTCTCTGGGCTGCATGGACCACTCTTTGTAGCCATGACCTCTCGATTGCCTTAAGACCAGTGTGTTAGAAAACCACCTAGCCACCTTTTTTTCTATGATCCAAGGAACCTATAAAATGAGGGAGTAGGACCAGCATGCAAGGTCTCTTCAAGCTCCAACATTCCCAGTCTATGAACCATTTCTCCTTCCCCACTGAGTGCTGGGCCTTGCACCCATCTATGTTTCATGACAAAGTACTGCCAGAAGCTTCTATGTAGATTATACCATGAGCTGTGTTGATGAGGGATCTGCTGAACTTTAACAGTGGCTTCTTCTCTTCCTTAGTGGGACGGCTGGACAGCTCAGTGGTGCCCAACACAGTGACAGAATTCACCATCACCAAGCTATATCCAGCCACCGAATATGAAATCAGTCTCAACAGCGTGCGGGGCAGGGAGGAGAGTGAGCGCATCTGTACCCTCATTCACACAGGTAGGCATGTCCTCCTGTCATGAGCCAAGTCAGGATCCTGGTTGAGGACCTGCAACAGACAGAAGAGGCAAACAGTGGAGTTGTTCTCCTAATAAAGAGGACACAGATTCTGAGCTCAGAAGCTCCATTCCATTCACTCACTGTGTCATGCAAAGCAATTTGTGATTTCTCTCCCCTCTGGTATTGCCTTCTAATACCGGGAGTTTAGAGAGTAAGCCTCTTCTAAGAGTCTTATTGGTTTAGGTCAGAAATTTTCATGGAATTTTCAATAGGAAAAGTGACCTTTCAAAGACACATTATGGAAGTGAATTCCAGAACAGACATCTAAATCATCTCATCTAATTTTTTAAAAGACTCAGTCAAGTAAATTTTACCTCAGAGAAGCAAAGGGTTATTATTCCAGTAAAAACCCTTGGGTTCCTGAAATTCTTCATCCTGGCCAGAAGCCACCAAGTGGCGGCATTTGTTACTGCTTTAAGCTCAAAAGGTGGAGGCCTTCCTTTGGAAAATGAGCGCCTTGGATGGACCTGGGGACAGGGCTCCTGCAGCAGCTCTATTTCTCCTCTTGCTCTGGTCCCTGAGTCAGCCCACCATGCAGAACTAGGAAAGACTTGTTATAGAAGGCACCAGAGGGGACAGCCAAAGTTTTCTGACCCCAGACCTAACCTCCCAGTTAAGCTATCATTCCCATAGCACATGGGAAATATCCAGCTTGCCTCGTTAGGAGAACACCGGAATTTCTTGAGGCTGCTTAATTTCCTCAGAGAACGGCATTTCCTGAATGAGGAAAAGGTAACTTGGAATTCCTCACCACTTTTGTAGATGCTCTCACAGGCCCAGAAACATCTGTAAAGTAATGGCCAAAGAAACATGTCTTCAGAACATTTCAGAACCTAAAAAATTATTCTTCTAAAAAACACCACAGGATATTCTTATCTTCCCTAGTCTCCTTCCAGGTCTGTAACTACACATAATCCAGCCATGTTTTTGGTCCAATCTTTCCTTTCCATCAAATTATCTGTGACCATTAAGGAATCAAGAAATATTGACCCAAAGTGATGCCCAATGAATCAAAAGAAGCCCCCTCTCACCTTCCTGAAAGTCTTAGAAATTCATGGTAAAAAAATTAGACTTTTTCTCTTTGAGGACTGTAAGATGGATTTCAAGAGCCTCCTATCCCCTAAGGTAAAAGAAAGCAGCAACTTCGGTCAAAAACATCTCATTCCTTGGGTTCTTGGTCATAAGCAGCAAGTATCTGTAAAGCGGATATTCAGCAGTGTACCAACCCAAACCACCCTCCTTCAGGTTCAGACAGAGCTATTGTGGCAACTCCCAATAAACAGATTGCCCACAGAAATGTCTTCTTTTGTTGTTGTTTTAATGTGAGGTTTATGATTTTACAACTTTGGGAAATGAGCACTCCTTCAGGGTCTCAAAGTTAATCTCAGTGAGATCAAGCTAATTAGTCTCTGAAGATTTTCTTCTTTGTCTCTTTTCATATGGTTGCATTTGAAGAATTTGTTAAAGACACAGATTACATATAAAATTCAGATATTAAAATTAAAAAAAATATTTCACAGTTGTTGCTTCCAAATAAGTAACATAAGTAAACAATAGAAACCTTAAGTTAGAAAACAGGGCCAGGGGGGCGCCTGGGTGGCTCAGTCGTTAAGCGTCTGCCTTCGGCTCAGGTCATGGTCCCAGGGTCCTGGGATCGAGCCCCGCATCGGGCTCCCCGCTCCGCGGGAAGCCTGCTTCTCCCTCTCCCACTCCCCCTGCTTGTGTTCCCTCTCTTGCTGTATCTCTCTCTGTCAAATAAATAAAAAAATCTTAAAAAAAAAAAAAAGAAAAGAAAACAGGGCCAGATCAACAGCACCTCTTGGTCCCCAGGAGTAAATTACATGACACTTAGGTTGAGTTGATACCTAAACTATTGTAATAGCATCCATTTCTAAAATAAATCCCAACTTTATAGAAGGGAAGCATAGTAAGAAACAAAGGCATAGATCATGGGTAAATAAGAATAGGAACTTGGTCCCATGATGAGCAAACTCTGTTCCCCGCAACAGACACTAGTGACCTTTCGCCTGAAAGAATCCCCATGACTCTCCAGGCCACAAAAGGGATACCCAGGACTCAGTACAAAGGGAGCCTGTGAGTAGCAAAGCAAGAATTCACTCATCATATGTGGCTTTTGAGGCAACCTGAGTCCCATTCAGTCATTCAGAAGCACTTATTGAGTACCTTGTAAGTTCTAGGTGCTGTGGTTACTCCTTGACTTCATGGAACTCCCACCATACTTTCTGAAGTTCATTAACAGAGATCATTCCACAAGGCATGCTCCTTATATTTATGAAAGTGCAAATAGCCTGGGAAGCAAATTATCTCATTAACTAAAGAAATATAACAATTCCTCTATGTTCTTAGTTTCTCCATCTAGGTTTAAATGTGTAAAACACAGCAGCCATACCTTGGGATCCCCTGTAGCACCTGACAGTACTCTGCACATAAGAAGTTAATGAATGAATTAAAAGGAAGATCTGGGGCCAATCAGGAGAGAACTGGGTACTTGTGAGGAAGGAGGAAAGGGAGAAGAGGATGAGATTAGAAGGGAAGGAAGGAAAGAGGTTTCCACTCACTTCATTCTTTTGTATGGCACAGCAGCAGACATGATGGATGAAACTATAAGAGATCGTTCACTGCACTTCCATCCTTCAGTATCTCCTACCTTTACCTGATATTCTCTGGCTCTGTTTCAGCTATGGACAACCCTGTGGATCTGACTGCTACCAACATCACTCCAACAGAAGCCCTGCTGCAGTGGAAGGCCCCAGTGGGTGAAGTGGAGCACTATGTCATTATTCTCACACACTTTGCAGGTGAACGTCTTACAGGTCTATGCATCAGGCAGGGGGAAATGGTGGGGACAGGCGCTGAAGACTATTATGAAAGTTTTTTTAAAAGGATGTTTTATCAATTTGAGGGACAGCTTAGAAATTTTCCTGCTTTACCTTCACTGTAAAGCTCTCAAGATGTCCCTAAACTCTGCAAACTACATCAGCTATAGGAATTCAGAAAGCTGAATCTGAAAGGTACAAGAAGGCACAAGGTACAAGGTATAAGAATCTGAAAGGCACATAAACAAAAGCAAATATAAAAACAGAGAAATAGCACTTGGAAGATAAAATTCAAAATTGAGCTAAGACTTGTCCCCAAATGCTATAGGGAAGAAAGCACACTTCTCTAGATATCCATAGAGCAAGAAAAACATCAAAGCACCATGCTTGGAACAAATAATACATGGTAACAAAGGATCCAGAACTAGCAAACTCCAGTTGCTTTAGTCTTGTCTACCCATATCCAACACAAAAGGTTGAGCCAACATTAAATCTTGAATTTCAATGTCTTCTTACCATGCTTTTTCACCTTACGCTATTTGAAGTTGAATAAAGAAGCCCAAAGCAAAATAATGTTGAGTAATTCAAGTATCTAGGCCTAGGAAAGTTATTTCCTTGTCTAAATTATACATGTGATCACAGAATTGTTGTGGGTTATATTCAGGAATCCAGAGAACAGAGCTATCAGAAGACAAGAGATAAGCAGATGTCTTAATTTTCAAAAATGACGGAGAAAGCCAATACTGTAAGCTGCAAAGTAAACTGATTGTTAAAGCTTGGGAAAATAAAAACCAAAACAGACTATTAAATAAATTGGAAAAAGATACCAGCACAGGTTCACTAGAATAAGTTTTACCAAAGCCATTTTATATCTTTTTTTAATTGGCAAATCTGCTAGCACACTTGGATTTCAGCAAGGCATCAGAAAATCCTACTTATCACTTAGATGGAAAAATACATGATGGATCATATTTGGAGTAACACAGAATTTAGCTGATTGAATAGCTCTCCTCAAGGAATGAATACCATGACTATGGATACATCATAACCCATCTATGTGCATGCACAATCCATTTCAACTCCTGCCACCCCTCCTTGCATGTCATGGGCCTGCATTTCTTAACTCTCACCATGCCTTCCCAAACCACCACTCATTTGCATGTGTTGTTTCCTCTACCTGGAAATTCTCTCCCCATTTGTCTGCCTAGACAAACCCATCCTCTAAGTCTTAGTTTCAACACCATGTCCACTGTCAAAGCTTCCAGTATTCCCCTAAGGTAGTCAGACCCACCTGCTCACAGGTACAAAGTACATGGCTCCATCAGAGCAATTAACTTCCATTCATTCAACAAATATTTTGGATGTCCTCCCACGAGCCATACACTCAACAAGGCTGTAAGGATTCAGAGACAAAACATGGGTGCTTCTCTTCACAGAACTCACTTCTGGTGATGATGAGACCAGTACATTGTTACAACCCAATGTGAGCAGTGTCATGACATAGGCAATCACAAAACAGCTTGGGCCACATCTGATAGATCACTCATTGGGGACGAAGGTGTTGAGGGGAAGAAAGAAAGCAGATCCTAGATAAAGTTAGAGAAGGAGACTAGAAGAAAGGGAATTCTAAGACAAAGAGCAGCCTGAGTGCATTTGTAGAGATACAAGAGAACATGAGGACTTTTGAGCAACTGCCATGGTTTGATATGGCCAAACAGTGATGGCTGGCAGGATGTTGCAAATGAGGATATTAAAAAGATAGAGTCGGGCACCTGGGTGGCTCAGATGGTTAAGCGTCTGCCTTCAGCTCAGGTCATGATCCCAGGATCCTGGGATCGAGTCCTGCATCAGGCTCCCCACTCAGTGGGGAGCCTGCTTCTTCCTCTCTCTCTCTGTCTCTCTGTCTCTTATGAATAAATAAATAAAATCTAAAAAAAAAAAAAAGATAGAGTCATTATGTTTGCTCTTTCAAAGAGCTGGTTTGAATTTTTACTTGTTTGCATGCCTTCTACGCCTTTAGACCACAAGAAACTTGAAACTTCAGACCCTACCTTGTTTGGGGAAGTGCCCAGTAAAATTTTAAATGCTGAATGACTCAGAAGTATTCTAAAGACACATAAATGGTGTGGCCCTGCTCTAATAAACAGTTTTACTGACAGCTAAATGAATACAGAGAAGACATGCGTAACACATTTGAATATAAAACAAAACTGTGTAAGTCAATGATACTGTAATTGTAGGGGGAGAGATGGTAGCTGTGCTTGTGGTGAGCATAGCATAATATATGGAGAAGCTGAATCACTATGTTATATACCTGAAGCTAATGCAACATTGTGTGTCAACTGTACTTAAATAAAAAAATTTTTAAACTGTGGTCCATAGAATCCCAATTCAAATATATTTCAATAAGCGGAAACGGTGGTCCAAAACTTAATCGACAAGGCAAAATGCAGTAGAAATAAACGCAAAGCTCTGCCCATGGGTGCAAACAATCAATACTTTTGGAATTGCCACATACATGTAATGGTGGTTGGGGATACATTTTCTCAGCCTAGAGGAGAGAGGACTTGATTAGGAGGTATGGCGGGAAGGAAGGAGCCATGTAGACAGAGGATTCAGCTTATTCTTTGTAACCCCAGTGGCCTGAGTGCAAGTCACAGAAAAGACAATTTGGCCTCCAAATAAGGACTATTTTTCTCAATTAAGATGCAAAATGAGAGGGGATGCTCTTGTAGAATACAATGCTAAGTTAAATAACCTTTAAGAGATTCTTTCCAAAACTCTCTAATACTGAATCTTTACGAAATGCCTTTGGATTTGGTAAGGCTTTCCTAGTTTCAATAGCCTTATTCAATTTTTATCCATGTTCATCTGATTTCAGTTGCCGGAGAGACCATCCTGGTTGATGGTGGCAGTGAGGAATTCCAGCTCGTTGGCCTGCTTCCTAGCACCCACTATACTATTAATATGTATGCCACCAGTGGGCCTCTCACCAGTGGCACCATCAGCACCAACTTCTCTACCCGTGAGTACATGGTTGGCTACACATCCAGCATCTCTAGATGCTTTTGTGGATCTGAAAATTACCAGTCTTCATGTGGTGCACTAGATGATAGTCTATAGGCTTTGGACAGTGCAGCTATGAGCTGTTCATATTTCAGTTGACTGCTGCCCAAATGCCAGTGAAAGTGAGCTACAGCTCTCGGGCCACAGACACCTGTCTGTTTCCTGCTCTCATCCTGGGTCTGGCTGACAGCAGTAGAATCAGGACCAAAGAGGCCAGTACTAGACATGCATCTGGCCTAGAAAAATCTGATGCATATTACAGGCCTTGATATGTGGGAGACAGTTGCTGGGTACAATCATGGCCAGAAGAGTAGACAGAGATATAGATGTGGGAATGATATAAGCTCAAGAGTGAACTCACAGACCTGCAGATTTAACAAGGTCATGATTTCAGACACAGGTCAGATTGGAAGATGTCACACCTAAGCCCAGAGGCCCAGGTGAGGGAAAGGGGGAATAGTTGCAGGAATGATCATGACACTGACTGATTATCTTCTGACCCAGGAGCACCCTTTCTGCTCCTGTTCAAGCTAGAACTAGGGCCAGCGTGTAAGCTGCCCAGAGACCCAGAGACCACATAGGTGGGCAGAGAGATAATGTGCCTGGAATGCAATCCAACAGAGGGGAGCTGGAGAGGCAGACACTCCTGGCATTTTCTCCTCTTTGTAGTCCTGGACCCTCCAGCAAACCTGACAGCCAGTGAAGTCACCAGACAAAGTGCCCTGATCTCCTGGCAGCCTCCCAGAGCAGAAATTGAAAACTACATCTTAACCTACAAATCCACTGATGGAAGCCGCAAGGTAAGACTTTTCTGTAAAGGAGATTTTTCTATCAAGCTATCCAAAGGGAGCAAACTGGGTTTGCCATGATGGATACATACATGCTATTGAGGAAAGAGCCTGAGTCTGCAAGCCAGAGACTTTGGTGCCTGTCCTGGCTTCGCTATTACTCTCTTTACAAGTTGAAGCAAAACAAGAAACCTCTCTGAGCCTTAGTTTCTGCTGTAGATAATGGGGGTTTCTACCTCTACAGCTGCACTTGGTTGTGGTGGGGCTTTCAGTATGATGATGAAAGGCACATTGGAAACTTCCAAGCCTATATAAGTACATAGTTTTCGAAAAAAATTTCGCTAGGAGGGCCAAGCAAACATGAGCAGGACACCAAATTCAACAGTCTTTTATGCCTCTTGATAAGCATTATAAAGGCTGCATCTATATAGCCTGCAGTAAAGAGATGACAAATTTCTGTGTTAGATGATCAGTTGAAACAGTACTTCTAGAGCACTGGTTGTCAAACTTCTGTTCACAATGAAATCTTATTTTTTAAAGTGAAATCATATTCAGAAGCCAAATATACACAATAGATTTAAGCAGAGCTAGTCTGTTAGATATGGAGGATGGAGGCCTAGGATTCTGCCTCCCTGGGTCCTGAGGAATCTCATACAGTCAGAAAACCACTGGATTTGATCATTCACATGCCTACCTTTATGCCAATGTGTGAGGTAGGAGCTGCCTAATCTGTGAGGTAGGAGCTGCCTAAATCTCACACAGGAGCTGTCCTCTCCGCTTATTGTGCTCTCCCTGTTGTGGAATGGAGAGCACACAATGGCCTTGGCAATCCTGACCTAGCTGGCTGCAGGCTCTGGGCTTCCCTTCCCAGCTCCTTTCAATTGCATGCTGGTCACTCCCTTCCACCTGCCTTCCTCCCTTGTTCCACAGGAGCTGATTGTGGATGCAGAGGACACGTGGATCCGGCTGGAAGGCCTGTCTGAGAGCACAGACTACACAGTGCTCCTGCAGGCAGCCCAGGACACTTCCCGGAGCAGCCTCACCTCTGCCACCTTCACCACAGGTGAGAGACACCACCCCTGCAATGCCTTCTTCTTCCTTGCATGACCTCTGCCTCTTCCAAAGCTTCTGCTGAGGCTTGATCAGGGAGGAACCTCCCAAGGAAAATCAATTGCATCTTCCTGTGGAGGAAAATAAGGGTTTCCTCCACACACACACCCCCTTCCAAGGCCCTGCCAGGAAACTTCTACCTGCCAAGGCAACCATAGGAACCAGCAGTACAAATCCTTGGTCCACCTGGACCCACTAAATGCACCAAGTGAAGACATCAGGTTCCTGCTCAGATTTTCTGCAAGTGTTTTCCCAGCAAAGTTCATCCTTCCCTCTTTCCTTCCTTCCTCTGCTGCTTGTGATCAGAGAATCACTTAATAAAAGTACCAAGAGTAAACCCTCTGTATTAAATCTAGGGTTCTTTTCCATACACAAAGCACTTTTGCGTTCCTATGGTCTCAACTAAGTCCCTATAACAACTGGTGAGGAGAGCCTTATTATCCCCATTTCACAGATGATGAAACAGAGTGCATGGAAATCAAATGACTTCCATGGCTAGTAAGTGGCTGGGTCAAACTACAACCAAGGTCTTCTACTACTAAATCCAGCTGCTCCTCCTGCATTCCTCCAATTAAGTATCAGCAGAAATTACCTGAAATGTCCATAAGGGATAAGGGTGTCCTAATTTGTCTAAGATGAAATAAACTAGTAACAGGCACTGTTCTGACTGCATTACATGTACTACCTAATTCAATCATCATGACAGCCTATGAAGTATGTTCTATTATCCCTATTTACAGATGAGGAAATTGAGCCACACAGAGGTGAGACAACTCACCCAAGACCCCACAGCTCTTACATAAGAGAACTAAGATTTGACTCCAGTTAATCTGGTTGTGGGGACTGTGCCTGTTAACAATCCTTTCTGTCACTTCCCAGGGTCCCTCTCTACAGTCTGTATTGTGGAACTGCCCAGTTCAAAGTTCTGGGGGTGTGGCTATGCACATGTGTGCGGCAAGTGTGAGGATTTCCCTTATCCCTAGATGTATGCCTGCCTGCCATCTCAGAGTACCTGGATGACAGGAATCCTGCCCATGCCCCAAAGCCCACCCCCCCATCATGAGGGAGGTGACAGAAGATCCCCCATCCCTACCTAGGTGCCTCTCCCTGTAGACTTGTTCTAAATGACAAAGCAGGACACTGGATCAAATACACCAAAATGTTACCAGTGGTTCTTTAGGGTAGTGAGATTATGAATGAGTCCTCTTTTCCCTCCTTTTTTATATTTTCAATATCTTACAAAGTGTCTGGAATGAGCAAATTAATCAGAAAAACAATTTTTTATTTAAAAAACAAAACTAAGCCTTGGTCACATAACCAAACATGAATCTAAGATGGGTCTTTACCAAATAGAACTTGAAGGACACTTGATCCCTTTTGGGGGCTGAAGTCAATTATGCTCGCCCTCCATGCTCTTTCACAGAGTGGCTTATCTCAGTATCAAGGTGCTACCCTCTCTTGTTCAAGCCCTTCCCTGCATATTCACAGGTTAAAGGGTCTTCCATGGTCCTCTTTTTCAAGCCACCACCCAAAGACCCATGGATTGGAGCTTTTCACTGAATTAAGAATTTCTTCCCCATAGAAAGGACACAGATGACAGAAACATAAACAGAGCTCCCAATTTGCATATTTATTAGGTCTAAACTAATCATTTCATCCCCAAAATGCATGGGTTTCAATGCTTGCTCAATGTAGTATGAGCTTTCAATTCCCATCCTAGTAATGCCACAGCTAGTGGGTGTGAGTAGTATGATAATATGCCTGAGGTTTCTGTAATATCTGGCAGCTGTGCCTTGCTCCAGATCTACCTGGGCTATAAAAGTATACCAGCTTCTGCGCCCACCACTGGCCTCTCTTACATGAAGCTGCCCCAGGGGTGTGTAATAGTATGGGTCTGGGATCTCAAACCCGGCTGGAGCCTCAGAAAGATCCAATAAGCTGAAGGTTAGCAATTCATGGAAATCTGTAGAGGAGGCCAGGGTAGTGGCTTTGTTTGGTGAACAGTGCAGAGGGACCATCAGGGTGTATTTAGGTGTTTGTTTCTTTGTTTTTATTGTTTTTATATGTTTGTTTTATTCTTATTGATTTATTGACACTGGGCTCCTGGGGCATGACCAACACCAACTCAAAAAGGAGAAAACTGAAGAGCCCGCCTTCCTGTATAATGAGTGTAGTTACTGACTGAGCCGCTCTATGTACAGTTTGGGGTACCAGAGAAGGACTTGCCACTACGATCGTGGTACATGGCAAAGATGTGTCCGTGTTTGGAAGCCTTTGCAGAGTTTTACTGTAAAGCTCAAATTTAAATTTAAGTCACTGAGGCACACCACACCCTGCTGGTCCCCCTGAAATGACTGGTTACAGAATGAAAAGTTTGTGGACAGAAGTAAGGCATATAAAAGTACCTTGCCCAAAGCCTGACAGATAGCAGACATAACGTTCAAAATGTTGGTTGAATAGAATAGTTAAATCCCAGCTGTAGAGCATGGAAGAGGGGTTTCTGGTGAAACAAAGCTATAGAAGGAATTTTCAACATCCATCACAGGGATGGGACAGGCAAAGAGGTACTTTCTCCAGAGTATGATGCCCAAAGTCCTTCTAATTTCAGGTTCTTTCTACCACCCCAAATGCAAATTTTCCTGAATAAATTACACTAAGCTTACAAGTGTCAACATTAGTGAGTCCACTGCCTCTGCCATGCCCCTCCCCCACCTTTTCTACCACCCGCCCTTCAACTCCCCTGCCAAAAACAAATTTTATGAAGGAGGAAGAGAGTACAAGAGTACCAGCTTCCTAAATGTGGGGATCAGGATGTTATCAAGAAGGGAATGATTGGGGTTTGCCTGATGTGTGGCTTAAGCCAGATGCCTTGAGGGAGAGACCAGGAGAAGGGCCTCCAGTGTACAGGGCAGGTGTTACTCATACCAGGACTCTCCTGTCATCCCCGTCGATCTCCTAAAGATCCCTCCAGATTAGGCTTCCTCTGGGAAGAGTGGTCACAGTGGCTGTGCCTTGAGCCTGATTCTGCCTCCCCTGACCTTCAGCATATCTCAGCTCATCCTTTCCCTTCCTCTCTAACAAGACCCTCACTGACAGCCCCCCATGACACACACACATGGGAGCCATATAGTTCACCCTGCATGCTCCATCTGTGGGCCCCTGTTTGCCTAAAAAGAAGAAAGGGAGAAGGAGAAGAGGGAAAAGAAGGAGGAGGAGAAGGGGAAGAAGAAGGAAGAAGAAGAAGAAGAAGAAGAAGAAGAAGAAGAAGAAGAAGAAGGAGGAGGAGGAGGAGGAGGAGGAGGAGGAGGAGGAGGAGGAGGAGGAGGAGGAGGAGGAGGGGGAGGAGGAGGGGGAGGAGGAGGAGGAGGAGGAGGAGGAGGAGGAAGAGGGGGAGGAAGAGGAAGGGAAAAAAGAAGAAGAAGGGGGAAGGGGAAAGGAGAAGAAGAAGGAAACAAAAAATGAAGAGCAGAGAATCTTTTTGCTTACTTGAAAGATTGGAGTGCTGCCAGTCTAAACCCCATGAATTATTCCTGCTGAGCAAGAGGTCTGAAAAACACCAGACCATCCTATATGACGGCAAATCAAGGCTGATGGATTTAGAGGCTAACTTCATTCTAGTAACCAGCATCCTTTCCGACTTCATTGACAGTACCTGAGCTTTCCACTTAGCAGCATCCTATTCTTAGGATGGGCTGATCTCAGCTGATCGTTCTAAGCATTTTTAATGCCTTGTCTTATGGAACAAAAGAGCCTAGAGCTGGGCCCCTAAGCGGCCTCCATCCACTGACAAACCCTCATCTTGCCTTGGGTGGGCCAAAATAAGAGACTCATTTCCAGCAGATGTCTACTTAATGGTCTGGAAAAGAGTTGTGATGTTTTTAAAAATAAAAAAGAAAGAAAGAGAGAACTAAAAGAAAAGAACTAACTCTCACAAAACCTCAAAAACTTTCTTTGATCAAGATATCTTCCCTTATTGCCTTCCTGCCATATAGCATAAACCCATTTCATTCTTTCCATCCTGTTAATAGCTTCCTGTCCTCTTGTCTCTGGTGTTTGCACAAGACTCTGGGGGGAATTAAATACAAGGAGTATGGAAGAGAAAAAATATGGATACGTTATTTATAATTTACTGTTGCCTGAAATTTCATTCAAGGTCTACTTGTCTTTCAGAGATATGAATATAAATGAGGAAACAAATATTCCCCATAGAGCAACAGAGACTTGGTGAAATGATCTTCTGAGAGGCAGGTTTCATTGTCTCTTTTAATACTATAAGAAGCAAACAAGACTCTCACTAAAGCTTGTCCTCAGAGACAGTGAACACTATAAAATAGGTTGTCTTTACCTTGAGGTTAAGCGAAGACAATCATTTGTGGAGGTGCCCAGAGATGAGTAATGAGAAGTTTTCTTTATTGCCTTTGCTCCGGTCCTATCCCACATCCAGGCTGAGCTGCTCTCTGGGGCTTTTCACAAAAACTCTGGGAGTCTACTCTAACACAAGCTTCAGTTTTTGAAGCTGTAAAAATTAATAAAGATTGGCAAATCCTGGGTCCTGAGACAATAGATAGTGGGTCATGCAAATCCACCTAATTATCAAGTTGGGAAGTCCAATGACCACTGTCCACTGCTTTCTACTCTTATATACACCACACTTGCCCCCTCACCAAAGTAAGGAATCAACAGGCTTCTCTCTGCTCCACTACTTAGAATCAGTTAGAATACTAGCTTCATTGAAATAAGCAAACCCCCTAAAGGAGAAGTCCACCTTCTCCTTTCTTTGACACCTGATTGTGTGGAAGGAGGCAGGGCACTAAGCACCCCATTTGAACAAACCATTCCCATCCAAGTCCAGAGGAGATGTCTGAATTAACCATACTGCTCAGTTTATCTCACATCACCAATGTCAAATCTCCAACAAGGTCCCTCTCTGTACTTATTCATTTATTTCCTCCT